AATTTGGGGGGAAAATAGAAAGGTGTCATACTTCAACCAGTCATTACAGGAAAAAGTTTGTGTTTAAGAGAAAGACAAATGGAGGATTGAAAAAGAACAGACAAAAAATACATGTGAAATGATTTAAAATGAGATTAAATAAATAAAATAGAATTAAGAGAGTGAAAAGAGGGGAGAAGATATTTGTTAAATGTAGAATTTTAAATAAGATATGAAATAGTATATAAGTTGAGCATGAATTTAATTTTAAGTCTGTACCAAAAGTTATAACCCGGGGTTAAGCCGCTTTCTAAAAAGAAGTTTTATACTCTTTATGTTATATGTCTTGTCAGTTTATGGATAAGAACATACGAAATAGTAACAATATGAAATATAGTAAGATGAAATATATGAATGAATAAAACTGAATAGAAATAAAGGAAGGAAAAGTAAGAAGGTGGAATACAGTAATAAGATATGAAGTTGAATATATAAGATGCTTATTAAGTTATGTGTGGAAATGTGATAATTTAGAATTATATTGTACTTAAATGAGATGTCGTAAGTAGTTCTTGGAAAAGATGTTCTATGTTCTTATGTTTTATGTTTTTATGTCTTTGTTCGTTTGTTTGCTTGTTAAAAAACCAATAAAATTGTTTTCAAAAAAAAAAAAATGAATCAGGGAAGCTGTGCACTGAGTGGGGAGGCAAACAGGTCGACTACCAGTTGGCCCAAACTCCAAGTAGCCTCCAGAAAGATCTTGGGGTCCAGACACCACTCTGATTGGTCTAATGTGGCTCTGCTGAGCCAATCCACTTGTACATTCGCTACTCCAGATATGTGCTCTGCCTTTAGAGAGAGAAGATGGATTTCGGCCCACAGGAATAGTCTTTCTGCTTCCCTCATTAGTAGAATGGAATGAGTGCCCCTTGTTTGTTGATATGGGCCTTTGTAGTTATGTTGTCTGTTAAGAAGAGCACATGTTTGCAATGGAGATGTAGGAGGAATTGTCGGAATGCCATGTACACCACTCTCAGATCTAGCCAGTTGATATTGTGTGCCTTCGCTGCATCCGTCCAAAGGCCTCGCGCTGTATGTGATTGGAAGTGGGAGCCCCCATCCCACTAGACTGGCATCTGTTTTAACAATCAACCTGTGTGGATCCTTGAAAGGGCATCCCTTGTTGATTTCAGGTTGTGTCCACCATCATAGAGACCTGAGAACGGATGATGAAACTTTAACGCAAATCCCGGCAACATCTCTCCCAGTGCATTGGTGTGGTAACTGGAACCATTGCAGGGTTCTTGTATGGAACTTGGCCCAAGGGATAATAGAAATACAAGAAATCATTTTTCTGAGCAATTTAGAAAGGAGACATAGTTGTACTTTCCTAAGAGTTCTGATCTATTGAGCCAAATTTCTAATGCTTTCTTGTCTGTCAGGGGAGAGGAAAACTTTGCCTTCCAGGGTGTCAATGATGGCGCCAAGGTGAATGAGTCTAGTAGAGGGTGTTAAATGACTTTTCGACCAATTGATTGAGAACCCATGTTATTGTAGGGTTACAAGTGTAGTTTGAGTGTTCAAATTTGCTTGATTGATGGAAGATGCCAGAATAAGAATGTCATCCAAGTAGCATTGAAGTCGGATGGACCTATCTCTGAGTGATGCTGCCAAGGCAGCCAAGACCTTTGTAAAGGTTCTGGGAGCTGAAGCTAGGTCAAATGGGACAGCAATATATTTGTAACGGACATTGTTGAATTTGAAATGTGAGGGCCTAATTGGGATATGTAAGTAAGCTTCCGTGAGGTCTATAGAGGTAAGGACATCATTTTTTTCTGATGCTGAGTAAGATGGATTGGAGAGTGGTCATTTTAAATTTTCAGTAAACTAAATATTGGTTTAGATATTTTAAGTCCAGGATTGCCCTCCACCACCCCCCGAACTTTTAGGGACCACGAAGAGGTGCGAATAAAAACCAAGACCTTTTTGATTAGAAGGGACAGGTTGTATGGCCCGGATCTCTAGTAGATGTGCTATGGCTGTGTTCATGAGAAACCTTTTTTCTGTGTCCCTGGAAATTGGGGACTTCATAAAAAAATCCAGGGGGGGTGGAGCTGAACTCTAGTGCCAGACCAAATTGTACTTTGTTCCGGACCCATGCGTCAGTGGTAGAGGAGTCCCATTGGTTGGCAAACATTTTTAGGCGACCACCAATGGGAATCTCGTTGCGGTCATTACTTGGATCTGCGGAAGGGCCTAGATCCTGTTCCTTGAAATTGTCTCCTAGGATGGAGTCCCCTTCTATATCTGTCCCCAGGTTCAATTCTATCTGTCTGTTGTCTGAATCCAGGCTGTCTTTGATAGTAGGGTTGGTAGAAGGGGCGAAAGGAACCCCTACGAAAAGGCTGTGGTGATCTGGACTCTGATCGATGAAAAAGAAAGAGAAGAATTTTCTTCTTGGTTCTGGTTTCAATTAGGAGGGGTTCAAGCGCACTGCCAAATAGTTTGTTCTCTGAGATGGGAGCTGAGGCAAGCCGCCACTTGTGCTTGACGTCTGCCTGCCAATGCCTGAGCCAAAGTAACCTTCTAGACACAATTTGGGAAGCAATGGCCCTAGAGAAAAATTTAACTACATTGAAGGTAGCGTCTGCTGAAAACTCTGCAGCAGCGATTAATTTAGCCACATCTTGATGTGCCCTAATATTTAATTAAATTAATTTCATGTCCTGTGGTTTTAAGGTGCTGGAAAAGGGAGGAAGTATTTTCTTTTCTGACTGCGTTCTTATGTTCTGTGATGAGTGCATTTCTTCTCCTCTTTGTTTGTCCAATGTATGTGGCTGGGCAATTGTTGCATGGTATTTCATAAACTCCTTGGTTTTCTAGCTGGATCTTGTCTTTGGGGTTTCTTAGGATGTTGGCTATTTTTTGGTCAGTGCCAAAGGCTGTCCTGATATTGTGCCTGTGGAGAATTTTGCTGATTTTATCTGTGGTGCCTCTAATTAAAGCCACAGGACATGAAATTAATTTTGAGGGGTCCAAATTAATCTCCAATACTGAACACTTCAACAAGAGAATAATCAGGGAAGCCATTGAAATAGAGAAACACCCCCATAACATGAATAAATGGGGTGATACCTCCCGCCTACTAGACATCTGGAAACTAGTCCTTATCAATAAACGAGTCCCAGCCACAAAAACCAACACAAGACCCATAACAACACATGATGCCACCACCAATCTCCCTCACCAGACTCAAACCCAGACTCACACCATAGATGAAAGGCAACCACCGTATCCAGAAACCAGACCACGGCTGCATCACCAGCTGCCACACACTCTGACCCCCAAACCAAGCAAATTGACACATGCCATGAACACATAGCCAGGCCTCAAACTCGGAGCCAAACCCAAACCCAGAATATCACATCATAGCCACCTGCTCAGGTATCACATCACGTAACTCAGGAGGTTACACCACAAAACCTCAGGATGTCATAACACAGCCAATGACCCAGGAGATTACAGCACAAGACCCAGGATGTCACAACAACAGAACTCAGAAGGTCATCGTCCAGGTCATTACAACCCAGGAGATTACAGCACAAGACCCAGGGTGTCAAAACAATAGAACTCAGAAGGTCATCACACAGCCCATTACCCAGGTCGTTACAACACAGGAGGCGGATAGACACACAGCCAATACCTCAGCCATACATGTTCTTACAAGAAAGCCAGCCAATCTGCAAACATCAACTCCATCAACCAATCAAGAACTGACAACACAGCCAACCTCCTCACCAGTATATATAGGGAGACGGCAGCTCCGATCACACTTTGCTCGCACAAGCAGGAAGCCGAAAGCACCAGCCTGAAGATGGTGATTGGGACCTCGTCGAAAAGTTGCCAAGATACTCTCAATCTTACACAGCAAAAGACCCGAACACACCAAGACCTGCATACACACACACATACATCTTTTAATAACTTAAAAGATTTGTAGAATTTAAGTCATTCAAGTCCATTTTTGAATAAAGTACTTGTAATATCAAATATGGAGACCAGAACACCCCCTCCAGATCCGGCACCTATATGAGGGCACAGAAGTCTGTAACTGATAATTAGATCAGTTTAGCTGCACTTATTGCCTGTCGAATCCAGCAGTTCAAGTCCTCTTTTATCCAGTGGACTGGTGATAGGCACACACCCCTCCCAGGTCCCCATGAAAGGAAACCTTGTTGGGTAATTTGCCTCACAGACAGTAACAATTACTCAGCAATTTTAACCACGCGGCCTTTAAAATGGCGGCCGCCTCGTGGCAGAATGAAAACAAAAGCAGCTATCACTGCCCGGCCTGCTGAAAGCAAAACCGCTCAGCGGGAAGGCGCAGGGGCTAATTCCCTGCCCTGAGGTGTTCCGCGGGGAAAGCCTTGTAATAAAAGGCAAAAAAGTTGTACTGTTTGAATTGGGGCTTTGAGCCTCGATAAAAAGAAAAAAGGCTGCACTTTTAAATTGAAGCTTCAAACCTCGAAGGGACAGAGCGTTTACTCAGCCGGCTGGGAGATCAGAGAGGTAAGCCTCCTTGTTTAGAAGTTTAAGGCAGCATCTCTGAAACGAGAGGCTTTTAGCCTCAGGGCAGCTTGGAAAGATAAGCCTCCGCGTTTTTGAGGCTTTAGCCTCAGGAGGCTGGAACGTAAAAAAAAAAAAACAAGCAAAATGACTTTTGGAGGTTCCCAGGGGTGGTGGGGGTAGGTGA